TTGGTTGATGATTTTCTTGTCACTTTCGGTTATTTCTGGCCATATATCTGGCAAAATTCATCCGAATATAAAAGTCAGGAACCACATGTGGGAGTAATCTAATACGTGTGAGATCAAATGTGGAAATCCTATGTAATGAAATTAAGTCATGTTTGGATAGGGATCTAATTCCAGGGAATTAGTTCTTTTTTCCACATTTCGACTAAGAAAATCGGAGAGTTCATGGAGTCCCCGGGTCTTCTGAGACACAATTTTCATATGATTCATTGTCATAGCCATCAAATCAATCCAAACTGCTGCATGTCAAACTAGCGATCGTTTTTGAATACTTTAGAAGTATCTGCCCTCCTAACTGCGTACATAATGGTGGTTGTAAATGGTTATATCAGGTGAAAGGCAAAGCAGCAATTGACGTGGTTTGCAATCCATTGGGGAAATCAGGTGGAGCTTTGATACAGCAATTCATGATACTCACGTTTGGTTCGCTTGCGAACTCAACTCCGTACCTGGGAGGTGTTCTCCTTGTCATCGTTCTTGCATGGCTGTCAGCGGCCAAGTCTCTGGATGGGCAGTTCACTGAGTTGCGGCGAGAAGAAGAGCTTGAAAAGGCATTGGAAAAGGCAGAAGCTTTGAAAATCCCTGCTGTGTCTCTCGGTGGAAATGGAAACGGCTCTCTTTCTAGCAGTGGCTCATCACTGAGCAACAACCCCGCCATTGGGAGCGATTCTACCAGTGCTTCTTCTGAACCCTCCTCCAAGAGCGCGTGATTGTGCACTTCTTACATTTGTTTCTCAGGATCTTAGGAATAATAATGCAATGGGTTGGTTGTGCTCAACTTGGAAACTCCATTGTTTGTCTTTTTATTTAACAAATAGGAAATTTGTTTTATCAGTAGATATAATGTGTAGTTCGAAAGGGCAGCTTGGGCAGGTATGCATGAATTCATTTGAGTTCCAACTATTTTCAGATTACTATATTTTTTTCACTGTTTTTTTTTTGTTTTATATTTTTCTATTTTCGAAATATATAAATCATTTTGGGGGTTTCTAGGTTGCTGGCCGGAACAGCCAAACACTTTTATTGTATTTTGGATGCAGTCGTACTTGATGCGTTTTTATTTTTTCGTTGGTTTATGAAGTGTATCTATTTAGCGTATGTTTAGGAAGTCAAATAAACCTATTCATAGATTCTTTTTTAGTTCATAAGATGAAAAGAGCTGCATCTTTTGAAGCTCAGACGCTCAGTGATGGAAATAAATCTATATTAATATATTCTCTTTTGATTAAAAAAACCTGCTTCCTTAAACCTGAAAATGTACTCAAGTTATTGTAATTTGCAAGATACTTCGTATATTTTAAAATTAGTATAAGTGGAGTATATTTTAAGATTTTTCATCAATGGACCCCTAGCTAGCCAGCTGGGTACATTTGGTACCCAAAAAGACTTATTAGGTTTTGGGGAAATGGAAATTAATAATCCAACCTTTTAGTGGTCTTCTTTCAATAATCCCACCTTTTGATTATTCATGAATAATCCAACCTTTGCACCTCATCTTCATTCATTTGTCCCTGGTCGGTTAACGTCCTACTATTCCAAGTTATTTTCTTATCTTTGCAAAATATTATCTTTGTGAAAGATGAGATTTATGGTATAATGATTTGCAAAGATAAGAAAATAACTTGGAATAACAGGTCATCAACCGGTCAGGGACCAGAGAATGAAGATGAGGTGCAAAGGTTGGATTATTGTAAGAAGACCGCTAAAAGGTTGGATTATTAGTTTCCATTTTCCCTTAGTTTTTTTTACACCAAAAAGACTAATTAGTTCATAAACACATTTCAGCAAATTCTTACCAAGCCAAAATTGAATATGGTGATAATCTATAATGACAATTTTCAATTATAAATAGGAAAAATTGAAAATAATAATCCCAACTATATAGACTATCCGCCAATAATGGTCCATGACCATATATTACCTCTATAAAAAGTAAATTTTAAATAGAAATTAATCGTAAAAATTAAAAGTTGAGATTATTTATAGGAATTACTTGTTATATCTCATCTCATCCACTTTAGAAACTACAAGAATTTATTCATAGGGACCATTATTGGCGGAAGGTCCCTAAAGTTGGGATTATTGTGTAATAATCAATAGTTGGGATTATTATGAGCGGACCACCAATAGTTGGGATTATTACTATCAATTTTTCCTTATAAATATAAATAGTGATTCAATAATTTAGTTTTTCTAGCTTTCACAAACACATTTAAGACTGGTTTGCAATTGCTTAAAAAAAGCAATTCTCGACTTTTGGCTTACAAAAACACTTATTTACCAAACACTATCAATTTTTACTTTTCTCGGTTTTCGTGTGAAAAATGCTTTTCCCTTTTCTATTACACAAAAAACACTTATTTTACCAAACACTACCAACTTTTACTTTTCAAAATCACTTTTTTCTCAAACACTATCAATTTTTACTACTAATCACTTTTTCCAAATCACTCCAAAGTGCTTGTTTTTAAGCAGAAGCTCATGCAAACACTCCCTTACAACCGGTTTGGTTTACTGCTAACAAGGTGTTAAGGTGTGAATAAAACCTTGTTAAGCTATGACAATCAGATAAAGAAAGAATAATGTTAGAATGACTTTAATGTAACATGCACATTTTTAAAGGAAAAATCTTGTCATATAAAAGCTACAACAATACCAAAAAGGACCTTACTATGTTCATGATTTCTGTTACAATCAGATTATGTGAACAAATAGTTTTACCATACGATACGGGTTATATTAAACACAAGTTATATTAAACGTTGTTATTGCTAGCCAATATTAAACATATTATACTAAACGTTACTATTTCTTTGATATTGCGTCTAATAATTATACCAAAACAAGGGGAATTTGCACTTCCAGCCTCTCAAATAGTATTCATATTGAAATGTGATCCCCGTGTTTAATTTCCAAATTTATGTATATATCTCACCCCTCAATTGTCTGAATTATTATAAATGTTCTGTTTGAAGAGATATGAGCTGGATTACATTTACAACAATTCAGACAATTGAGGGTGACATTTACACACTTGAAAACATGAGGATTACATTTTAATGTGAGTAGTATTCGAGGGATTGAAAGTTCGATTTCCCCAAAAATTAAAAGGTGTATATATTCTTGGACATATAATTTAAAAGGTGTATTCATTAATGTCCGATTCTCTCTTATAAAAAAAGACCATGTCCGATTTTCTCTTGGGCATTTCTTATACGGAGTAATATAAAGTATGACATTTACTCATACCAAATTTCAGCTAAAAATTCAATCGGGAACACATTCAAATTAATTCTTGAAGATAACTGTGCATTTTTGCGTTCTCGGATTAATTTGAATGCGCTCCCGATTGAATTTTTAGCTGAAATTTGGTATGAGTAAACTAGACTTGATGAATAAGATGCTCAAAAAATTTTATCAAAAAATTCCACCGGGAACCGCCCCAAATCGCGACGACCGGGCAGAGTCTCCTATAGAAGGACTTAATTGACTTTTTTATGAAAGTTCGAGGACCTATTTGACAGTTTTCCCTTTACTTATTATTGGTATGTTGTGACCATTTCCATCATTTAGAGGCTTAGATGATCTACAATTCAACAACATACACGTGATTGGTGGGTGATGAATACATGACATGATCGAGATAAATATATAAAATTAAATCAACGGAATTTCTATCTTTCCTTCTACGGCGCTCTATATTTTAAATTACTTTTTTATCAACTATGTCAACCACAATGTTTACAAGTGTGTAATTTACAACTAGTCGTGGAACTTGAGAGAAAACATTACAAAAAAGAAAAAGAAGAACAGTTTAAATAAGGAAAATGTTATGTTTATTAATTTTTCACGTGTCTATATATCTCATGCCCCATGTGTATCATTTTTTTTTATTTTTACATTGGAAATGCTCTTATACACGTTTAGGAGACAACAAATGACTAGTTTCTTTCTAAAACTATGATTAACTACTTTTAATTAATTTGAATTCTCTCTCTCTCTCTCTCTAGTTCATGCCCAAATACCCACCCCTGCCCCCACTCCCTACCTCATTGCCCCCGCCTAAAGAAAAATTCGATGATTTTTTTTAAAATTCACAGGAAGAGGTTACTAGATTTTTTTTCTTGAATACATAGTGACATGTTCCATGATAATAATGACACCGGTAGTAAATGGTAGTAATATAATAAATTGACGATGACATAAAATAACTGTAAGTGACATAATACATTAAAAATCATAACTTTTCAATGTTATTACGTTGTTAATCACTTTTTTGTAAATATATAAAAGTAGTCACTTCTTTGGAGTTGTGCATGAATATTGTAATATATAAAGAATGATTCCCCAATTTCAACATAAATTAATAAAATAATCTCAACTATGTAAATTTTTATTAATTACGTAATACCTTATTATGAAAATTTGGTTACATATTTCTCTAGTTTAAAAACCTAAGTAGTCATGACAAGTGACAACATTTGCAACTTCAATGGGCGAGACGATCCATGCTGATTTCTTTCCAACACATGTGGTGCTTCATTACCTTATGCTGCTTTTGCACCTCTACTTTTCTTCTTGTAATGACAAAGTTCACGTGAGACACATGAGTGTACTCATATTATCAAAGGTGGAATAAAGTCAAGCATTTGTTATTAAATTGACATGAGTGTAGACGATCACATGACTTTATTTCCATATTTAGGTAATGCGAACACATTAAAATTTATCACTAGAAACTCCTTGGAATTATTGCTATGTTATATGTCTAGGTGTATAGTTTCTTTTATTTAATACTACGTACTCCATTTGACCTGAGAAACCCATTAACAAATTGAAATAGCATGACCCAAGGTTTTTTACATATTAGAGAGAAATAATAAGAATCATGCAATTCTCCCCTTAAATAAAAGTAAAACATTATTTAAGTAGGAACCATTTTTTGGGAGACTTAATAAAGTTTAAGTTTATATGCAATGTAGAGATAAAATGAATATACAGTATAGAGAAATAAAAGCAATGTACAATATAGAGATCTTATAAGGAATGTTCTATAGGGGGATCATCTGCTCACATAACAAGCTGCTGTTACATTCTGAAACAATGCTGCTGCTACTACTACTACACAAACCAATCCAAAAGAATGAATGTTGCTATCACACACAAATTCAAGCCAAATAGAATGTACCGAGGAGAGGGTCATATCTTCATTGCTTTCACAATTGTTTTGAAGGAGGATTTAATGATGTTTTTCCTGGTCGCTAGGCCCTCTTCACCTGCACCATCGTCTTCATCATCACCGGTCACTAATGGCTTCTTCCCCAGGCAATCAACTCTCTTTTTCATGCCGCTTAAGATCAGAGAAGGCGAAGACGGAATACGCCTAAATCCCCTGGCGCTTTCAGACCTGCTCAGTTTCCTATCCTCCTCATCACCCTCTTCTCTTTCTTTTCTATTAGATGAATCTCTAACTTCTTTGCATTCGGCATTGGCACTTGCATTGCTTTTCCTTTGCCGTTGGAGTCTTTTACATGGGGGAGGAGGAGGATTCAAGAGAAGAGTAGTGTTCTTGCATTTTTTCTCTCCATCATCATCTTCTAATTCATCTGTACTATTTCCTTTTTTGTCTTTTGCAGTAGCTTCTTCTGATTCTAGAGCAGTTGAAATGTTGATATCTAATTCATCTGCACTATTTCCTTTTTTGTCTTCTGCAGTAGCTTCTTCTGATTCTAGAACAGTTGAAATGTTGATTTCTTTGTGAGGGTATTTACAATTGAGAATCTCAACTATGCCAGCTTTATCATTATTATGATCATCAATAGAAGCAGTGGTAGCATCATTTGTGCTTTCCAACAGAACTTGAAGCCATTTTTCCACATTTCCTTTCCCACGTTGCTTTCTAATATCTTCATCCTCTTCCGTTTCTGATTCATGACAAATTGGAAACTCAAGATTGACCTTTTTTATCCCATCCTCCTCCTGGACTATTTTCAAAGGTTCTAGCTGCTCTTCTTCAATGGCTGCTGCTGATGTTTTATGCTGCTGCTCTTCCTCCAATAAGACTCTTAATTGTTTATGGGTTTGCTCCACCTTCGACTCCTTGTTTGGCGAATATAGCACAATCGTTCCAGGAGTGTCATCATCATCATGCCAGTTCTGTTCAACCATTCTTGATCTCTTCCTTTTCTGCTCATATTCTGGCCTTATTTGTTGTTCTAACTCATCTCTCTGCTTATATTTCAAGTACAGTTCTTTCTCTGCAGAATCACATATTGCCCTTTGAGCTTCAAGCCTTGCCATAAGTGAATTACTTGCTGCCAGATTCAATCTCACTTGTTGCTTATAAACAACACTCCTGGAACACATAAATAACACAGTAAAAAACACATATTAAAAAGAAAAAGAAAAGAGAGCTTATAAATTTCTTACTGGTGCATAGCATCTCGAATCATCTTCTCCAGCATTGTTCTATGTGAGGCCTGTGCCTCAGCTAACTTGCGGCATTTCTCTGCACGACGCCTTTTCTTAATCAGGATTAACTCCAAATCTTGGATGCTTACGTTCTCCTCCTCACCTTTCTGTTTTAGTTCACTCACTTCTTCATCTAATTTATTTATTTCTGCCTGCATCTTCACGGCTTCTTCACGTTGTTTCAAAGAATTTCTGGCAACCACAATCTCCTGGTAAGGATTGCTGCTGCTGAGCATGTCAGGGTCCTCATTTTCTTTTAGTTTCTTGGAGGCTGCACAAAAGAAGTATATTAGTAAATAGTAATACTGAAGGAAAAATTAATTTAAATTCCCAAACTTCAGAGATGTGCAAATTGAGTACTTCTAACTCTGCAAGTCAAATATTCTCTTTAACTATATATTAAAAGTGATCTTAGCTTTGGGGTGAAATAGATGTCCGAGATGTGCAATTCAACATGAATGCATTTTTTGTTGTTGCAAAACATAAGTTTCTGGGGCTAACTGCACACTTTAAGACTCCATAAATAAACAGGTGCAATATTAAATTTTATAATATTTACCTGAAAAGTGCAAGTTTGTGGTTGAGTTAACACCTCCTCATATTGTATTTTTTTTACATTAATCTTACCATATTTAAAAGGTATGGAGTATTAGAGTATATGAATAAAGTGCTTCACATTTGTATGTTTATAAACAAGATGGTGTTTCATTGGAGCATATCGATCTTATAGTTCGTGTGCTAGTTGGAGCTTAACGATTCTGATACTATATTAAGATCTTGAGGTTCCATCTTAAAGGTCAATCTAATAGGAGTAACTTAAGACTTTATGTATCTTTATACGCCGGCGTGAGATAACTTAATACTAACCAATTATAGAGGTGCTTGATCTTGGCCATCTGTTGAAATCTAAGGACTTGAGTGCTGAATCATACGGTTCTCTTCTATTGATGTGAACAACAGCAGCTGGAGAAAGACCAATCTTCTTTTTTGATTCCATGAAATGCTGTGGGAAAACATGGGAGTCTACCGTTTGAGTGGCATTCAGTTCTTGATCTTCTGCTTCAGAGAACAACCAAGAAAATGCCCTATGCCTGGAAAAACAACCAAAGTTTGGGATGATCAACCCAATTTCACCATGCATTTTCTCTAACTTCAGATAACATCATACTAAACAACAGAACATTATACTAAGTTACCTGAAGTCCGAATTTCTTGAGGCAAAGATGGATAAAAACTGGTTTATGGACAAACCAACTTGGAGATCCCACCATGGTATTTGGAATTCTAGCTTGTTTTTCTTCTTCTTACATACTTGCCACTGCAATATTCTTAGATTACTTGCAACAGTTAAACCCCCTCCTGCATTTTAAAGACAAGAAAGCAATAAAAAAACTCATTAAAAATTAATAAAAATTTGCACAAATAGGATTTTCCTCAATTTATCCCAAAAATAGCACATATAGTTAATAATTCTTGATGGTCGAATTTGAAGAATTGTGTAATGCTTTAATCTAATTTAAGAAATTTCTGTCACTTATGTAAAAAACTCAGAAAATTCTTACTTGAGCAAGGAAACCAATGATCAATACTCCAACCTAGTGGAGAAGCTGAATCAGCATGATAATACAACACATTTCCATATGGATCTACACGGAAAATTTCAGGATCAAACCCAGCATTCCTGGAATTTCACAGTAAATACAACAAGGTTTTATTAATATTCATCAAAGAATTCTAAACATGAAAGACATTAGAGAGTTTAAAAAAAATTCAATCTTGGCGTACCCAAGGTGATTGAGTTGCTTCCATAAGAGCCTGACGAAAATCTTAACCTTAGCCGTGGGTTTCGCATTCGGATCAACAATAGGAAACATATCATCGAATTTCTTGAGTCTCATCACCTGTAAAGCCATTCGAAACCCTCAATATTTCACACCCAGAGTAAAAAATTATCGCAGATTTGAAAAATAATGGAGTATCACCTCTTGGTGAGGAAGGGCGTACGGAGTAAACGTGAAAGGAGGGGCTCGGCTGTAAGGGCTGAAGCTCCTGTCTTTACACAGCTTAGCATAGGCTTTGGGGTAGCCAAGGCCTTCGTCGACCGCCGTCTCATCGGCCGTGAAAACAAGACTGCCGGCAGCCATTGAAGTCAAACTAGATTCGGATTTCAGAGAGTTTCTTACACTGAAACAGAGGAAGTACAACGTAGGTTTTGATGCCGAGGAAGAGGAGCGGACTAACGGTCAAGTGTTTTTTTTTGGATGAACGGTCAAGTGTTATGTATTTTTATGTTTAATAATTAATTTTTCCTTAAACGCTTCGGATGTCTTTGTGTTTTTAAATTTTTTCATTTTTTCCCCTTTGAAATGGATCATGAGTGTAACGGCTATATACAGCTCCATTTTGGGTAGCCTATGTCCTTTATTAGTTTTAGTTTGGACTAACTCCGCCCACATGGAACAGTAAATAAATCCAGTAAATATTAAATTTGTCTTATAGTCCAAGTTTACTCCCACAATTTGATCTGATTTAAACTGAAATAGTTTAGCCATATGATATTATGTGAATCAATAAATTCATGGTTCTTGTTATTTCTCTCTCTTCCGCACAAATTCTACCTCACATTTTAAAGTGATAATTAAAATGAACCTCTTTAAGTAAAGTTATTTTTGTCTCTCAACATTGTTAAGATGACGAAATTTTTGTTTCCTTTTCAGCCATATTATCTAATGAAAAACTACTCGGAACATTAATACTCCCTCCATCCCGGAAACAAGTTCACACTTTCCTTATTTGAATGTCCTAAAATAAACTTCACACTTTCTTATTTGACAGATTATTTACATCAAAATAGTGCAAAACAGTGTCAAACAGTGTCGAAACAGTGTCAAATAGTAAAATTTATCCCTCAGTAAATTTATTTCCTAAAAATGTGTGAAAGTCAATCCGGGAACTTGTTTTCGGGATGGAGGGAGTATGTTTTAATCATATCTGAAGATTTCTATAAACATATAGTTATTATCAGTCTGTCCCAAAGAAAGAACTTGTGAAAATTATGTTACCAAATTGATAGGACAAGATATCAATCAAATACTTTCAGTTGTTTATCCCAAAATATGTTGTAGTTTAGTATTTTTGAAGAGTTGTGCTAGGTGTACACATTTCGATGTTCACCTTCATACACTCATCTGTCTAGAACTCACACACTCAGAATTGTCTATTCACAGACAACTCTACATAAAAAAGTGTACACCAAGCATTTTTCATTTATGAATCAAATTCACAGTCAGTTCCACTGCTTCCACAGTCCACTCCCACATTTCTAAAACATTTAAATTTAGTTTTAATTTGCACTTTGATATTATTTTTAGTGTAATTTCCACACGTATATGTAATTTACATATCAACACTAGTTCAAATGCTATCAACATAAAATTAAAAAGAATTTATTCACGAGTGAAATATATTCTCGTACATTTTTTAAACAGGACGGCATATGTTTCATTCTCGATAAAAAAATGAGAAAAAAACCTTATATATTTGGAGTGGTATTCCTATTGAATTTTATACTATGTACTAGTTTTTTACACACGCTTTGCGCGATATGGTAAATGCCCAGTGCATTTTTTTGTTAGGATAGATGTATATTCTGTAGATTCGATTACTTTTTGTATATGAGAGGTTAACATTTAGGGCTACAAAAATACAACATGTAACATTCTTTTAAGACTTCAAGAACCCAAAAAAAAATGCAATCAAAGAGAAATTTTTGGTCTTGTTTTTCTAATTTCATATAAAAATAGCAAAATATAGCTAGTACAAGTCTAAATACCATTAGTTCTTATTCAATTTAATCTAGGACCGTTCAATGAAATGACATGTACAATTAAGAGAAAAAAGAGATTGACTCATATTATGTATTATACTTTTAGTAATTCATGTGTTTGCTTGTATTGGACCAACTTCACTATCTAGCATCAAATAGGTGGACGAATAATCAGATAAAAAAGATTTGTAACATGTTGGGCATTGGCCCGATTCCTAGCTCTTCAATCTCAACAAGCATCGTGTAAATATTCCCACTTCCAGTTCTGCAAGAAAAACAACTAATTAGATACAATTCAGCAGAATACTTGGCATATCATAATATTTCAATTAAAATCAATGTTTTCACCATTTTAATCAATTTGTGGGCATTCTCAAATTTGACGCTATTAGTCATCCTTATGTTATGTAATTTTGAGTAGGCATCGATCTAGTCCTCATGCTCCTCGTACTTTCTTTTATCTAATAAACTGGTAAGGTGTTTCCCAACTCCCCTTCCAAAATATCGATTTTGGTTCCTCACTGGGACAAAACATGCAATTCAGTGTGTGAATCAAATTTACATGTATATTTTAAAAGTTGAGTTTATCTTAAGGATTTCAATGCTAGTTTAGAGGATTAGTGAGCATTCTTTTTTATGAATAGTGAGCATTTTCTTTAGTGAGAGGAATATATTTATTTATCAGCTCCTCCAAACTTGTGGTATTAGTCCCTATTACCTTTTTTCATTTCGATATCTCTAATTTAATTGAAATTGTCCTAAACAGGATATAAATAATGCGAAATTTCAAAACAGGAGTATTTTTTTCTAAATAGGAGTATTTATTGTCATACATAGAAACTACCACAAATTTTGGTGATGAGCATTATTATTACAATATAGAGTTAATGTTACACGAACTCAATCCAACCAACTCCCCCTCCCCTTTTTTTTTCTTATACCCAAGAAATAATCCTAAGACGAAAAGTATAAGATTTTCAATAAGTTTAGTTGGTAAAAAAAACCAAGCAGGTGGGAAAACACACCTTTTTCTTGTGCTATTATGAGTTTACAAGTTTTTCTTGTGAACACATAGTTCTTTTTATATGATTAGTTGTTTAATCACCACAGTTAGGCTTTAAATGTTTTGAACAATTTTAATACTTTCAGGCTGTAATTGAAAAACTTAAGATCAGACAAATTATGTTCTGAAGAGTCGGGAAAAAATAAAACATTCTAATCAATCCATGACAAAAGAATGGATGGAAGGCATAAGAAAAAACTGTTTGTGCTTTACATAGAGAAAACATACCATCAAATATATGAAGAAAAAGTCTCACCCTTGATGTTTGAGATGTTGCTGCAAATTTTATCAAGGGTCACTTGATATAAACAAAACCGGAAAAAGGTGTAATGGCTCAATTTGAGTTTGCACTTCATCAAATTAAAAGGTTGTCAAGTTGCATTGTAAATTTAAGCAAACTTGGGACAAGAACAGCTAGGGATACACATACGAAGGAAATAGAAAATATAAACCATAGGAGTAAAAGCATAGCCGTATTGTTAGTAAGAATAAAGTCAATAGCCTACTGTGTTAAGCTGATGAACAATCACAGGATTATTCTCTTAAATCCACACAACACATTTACGAATGATGATGGCAACATGCCAAACGCGTGTACTGTTGGGCTCCCATCATCCATATATTCCGCTACACAGGGACTTCAAGAGACCAATTGGTAGATCAACTGTAAAAAAAAAAAGAAAAAAAAGATGGACTGTAAGGTATTTAATTTGGGGAATAAAATAACAGCTCACAAGAAGAGATTACCTGCTCAGATGGAACAGTGGGTAAGGATTCGAGCCGGATGTTGGCGGTAGGGGTTCAGTGGAAGGAGACATTTTTCGTATTGATAAACAGAGGGCCATAGGCATATCAGACAAACGGGAGGGATATACGGTCGTGGGTAAAGGGACGGACATCGAGACAAAATGGAAACGTACATATTTTAGTAAAGAGTACAAATGACGCCCTAACCATCATTGGCCATTATAAGCTTTTAAGATACTTACTTCATTTCACTCTACCTATCTTACTTTCCATTTTAGATTGTCCCAAAATAAATGTCATATTTCCCTTTTTGGAAAAAAGGTGTGGTCTACAACATTTGACTTTATTGTAACACCGCCCCCAAGTATTTGTACTTTACCGAATTATGTATCGAACTCTGGGAAATGAATAAATGCATTTTTCGTAATTGTAAATGTTTATCATTTCTTTTACGTGAATAGTAAAATTCACGTGGGGCCCACACCGGAAGTGGGGGGCCGCCCGATATTATCGGGACCACATATTATATTCATTTGGGTCAAGATGATATGTGTATAATGGTGGATAGCCTGGTTGGGCCATAGGAATCATGTGAGTAACCTGTTGGGCATATGAAGCCCATTTATCGGTACCGAAGTAATATCAGATAAAAAGCCATAATAAATTATGGAGACCATCAAATTAAAAGTTGGGGATGTACATTCATTCTCATAACCAATAATAATTGGAAGAATGATAGATATTTCATTTTACCCGATAAAACGAAATATAGTTAAAACAGTCCGGAAAATACAACTTTCGGGACCAAGTGTACACTTGGGGACACAAAGGGATGACCTCCCACATATGTGGGGGCCACCCCACGTATTTTGGTCTTGCAAAGAGCAAGAGGAGCCGCACAATACTGTGAAGGAGCAAGGTGGAATTGATTGGAAGACCAATCAACAAAGGAAGTGGACCTCACCCATGTTATTATTGGGAGAAATGCCAAAAAGGCATTCTCAATCATCCCACCTCATACAGCTCGTCCATACTATCCTCATTGGTGAGAGAAGCTCTGAAAATACTCCATAGAAGCCTCCATACACGCACCTAAGCAAGGGGAGGAAGAAGGAAGGAAATAGAAGAAGAGAAAGGAGAGAAAAAGAAGGAAAACTTGTGGTTAATAAGGTAATGACTTCATTAACCCCATTTCTTCTCTTTAATCCTATTACATACTCCTAGTATATCTCTTCACATGTAAAGGTGTAGAATGGGAGTTGGTGAGTTGGTCTAAACCCAAAACGAGCTTTGAGAGCAAAGTTGACGGGTTTGTCGGAAAATAACCTTTTAGAGGTTATTTGTGGTGATATGGGTTTTATGATGATAAAACCTTGTTATTAACTTGTATAAGGTGCTTCAAGGACTTTCACGGAGTTGAAAGAGTTGCCGGAGTTGTCACCGGAGTTCGTTGAAGTTCACCGGAGTTTCACCGGGGCTAAATCGGAAAGGCTAGAACTTCATAAGCTTCATTAAGGTGAGAAGACGGCTATATGCTTTATAACTTTTGATTGAGGCATGAGATTACCTAAAGTAATCAAGTATATGTTTTACGGAATGATTAAAGTTAATCAAGTATTGGCTTATGCCATGATTATATATAAAACAAAGTTGAAAAGCATGTTTTGTATGTTTGGTGATTAAAAATGTGATA